TGTTGGGTGTTAGTGCAGGTACTAAAGAATGTTTTGTTGAACTATTTAAAATGCTATATCAAGGGCATTTAAAGCTCTGAGTCATCAGGCTTGACCTTACAGCTGACCTTGGTTTGAGCCAGAGGTCTGACCAGGCATTCCCTGGGTTTGTTCCAGCTGGAATTTCCCCGCGATCCACTTTACAAGTTTAATTCTTCGCTTCAAACATCATGGAATAAACTCCCCGATTTGCTTTTACTTGTTTATTTATTTTTAAGGATTTGGTTGCCTGAATCAATGTCAGTCCCAAAACATTTCAGCCCAGCTGAGGTGGCCTTTCTTTGGAGTCTGGCACAGATGGCAAATGGCTGAACCATGCGGATGTGTTTCCCTGGTCAGGTCGGGTAATTTCAGTATTTTTCACCAGGACACTGTTAAAGCAAGTGATATGTCCGGGTGAAGGAGCAATGCAAGCAGGAGAAGGGACCTGAAGAGTCCCAAGCATGACATCAGCTGCATTTTTGTTTCCCTGGCACTCACCCATATGTGTGCAGCCTCTCGGAGGTCAATTTAAGACATTGATGCAGATGTGTAGAAGAGGGAACAGATGTCATGCAAATCATGCTTGAATTAAGATTGCTGTGAAAGCCCCTCAAATACCGTGCAAGTTTGGGGAACCGTACTTCATCTCTCGGGACAGATCTTATTTTAAATGCTGAAAGAAGTTATTTCTGAGACAAACATTCAGTGATTTAACCTAAATAAGCAAAACTCTCCCTTATTCTCTCCCAAGGCTCCCCAGCAGAAAAGATTTGGGGTCATCTGAATCTCACATCATATGGAAGAACACAGCATCCGCTTTTAAAACACAGAAGGGATTCACTGTTCTTCAGGTAACATAAAAAGATACATTTAATGCATTCAGTTATTCAGTTGACACATCTCTTTACATGCAAAGTCAGTGGTAAATCAGAAGCAATTGTAATAGAAGCTTTAAAGTCCTTGTAGTTAATTTTATCCTATAATTCAAAGCATCACTGTCTGGTACTGATGATGTCTTCTGAAGACCCAAATTGTATGTTTGGTTTCAAGCTGTGTATTTTATCTGAAATGGCATTAAATATATGGTGTGTAAGTAATTGAAAAAAAAAAAATCAATCGTCTGAAATATACCTTTTTCCACTGGGAAAATTTTAACCTGACTTAGTAGGCCTTCACAGATACTCTTTGGCTTCAGTGTTTCAGATCAGTACAGAAAATATCTACATATATTTTATAATTATACAGTGAAAGACTAAATTAGCTAGATGGCCCTACTGTTGCACTGCATAATAATTTAGCAACTAAACATGTTGTTGGTGAATAAATCAAAGGCATCATAAAAACACCATTTACCTTTTTTCTTCGAGTTGCAAGAGCCATTTGCACACATAACATGTTCTCTACAGCAGGAAACGAGAGAAATTACACAGCAAAGCACTGATGGGCCTTTGTGAAGCCTATTGTGCACTGCCTTAGTGCTATATAAATGAAATTGTTTCCTGTGTTATGTTTCAGAGCTGCAACGGCATAAACACAGCACAACTCAGACTATTTTAGAGCACAACTCGATCCTAAGTAGTGTCTGAGGTTTTTATTGAGGCAACTCAATAGGACCGATGCTCTGATACAGTATACTGCACTTTTGAAATAGTACAAGAGGAACTGTTTTGAAACAGCATAACAAAAGGCTTAAAGGAGCTTAATGTTGACGTAAATAATCCAATATATTATTTTTAAAAACCTCTTACCATACCATCTGGGGGGTTGATTCCTGACAGCTTCCTGAAATTTCATTTTGTTTTAAAAAAAACCCAAAACCTCTCTGTGTGGCAAGCACTTCAGCACCACCGCAGGGAGATGAACGAGCTGCGGCAGCGACAGGAAACGATCTGAGGCACAGAAACCATGCGGGTGACGTGTGCTGCCAAAGGCATAGCACCAGAAAAAAAAAAAAACAAATGAAAAACCGAACAAACCCCCTGGCAGTTTCCTCCCCACCTTTCAGATGCCACCAGCTTGTCCTGAGGGTGAGCAAGGCCTCAATGAAGTTGGAAAAGCTGCTGCAAACCTTTGCTCCATGTCCGAGTGTGGACAGCTGCTCAGCTCACTAACCCCAGCGAACCCATTTCCTCCTGAGGAGGGCTTGGCTTAACTTTGTGTCTGGCTCCTCCTGGAAGCTTAAACCGGTGCTCTGTGTGAACTCTCACTGAACCTGACTCAGTTTCCATATTCACCATCTCTTTTGCTGTAGTGAAGTCCTTCTTGTTAATCCGTGTCCTATGGAAGAGGATCTGAATTCCTGCAGCCCAGCAGCCGAGGTGGAGCAATGGGTGGGGAGTTCTGGCAATACAGCCAGTGCCCATACCCAGGTTAGCTGCACATTGGTTACACGTTCCATGTCCCACTATCCATCCACAGCTCAGATGGGGCACCATCTGAGTTTAATCCAATTTACTAAACTGAAACCAGAGATTTCTTTAATTTAACTTAATTTTTTTTTTTTAAATTGCGTAATGCTTAGGAGGTGGAAAAAAGCCCAGTTGCTGGGAAGGTCCTGCCCTGGTTGTCGGAATTCTAGGAATTTAAATACGTGACATTGAATTTCATGATGTTTATTTTGGGGGAGGGGAGGACAGCAATCTGTAAATGGTGACGTATCTACAGAAGACCATGGTGTACCTGCACACAAAAGATTCACAGGGACTATCCTGTGTTCCTTTTTTCTAAGGCAGGTACTTCTAGAGCTGATGTCGGTTTGCTGCATGTTTGTCTAGAATTATCTCACTGTAAATGGGATACAAGCTGACAGGCTTTAGGATTTAGCATAAAATGCTGTATCTCACTCCAAAATCAAAACATGCACTACTTGTTACCAACTGCAACTGATGAGGCCACAGGTGTAATATTAAATGGATGCTTCTAGTTTTTTATATGTGACTTTCAGTATGTTAAAACTTTTCATTTTGTGAGGAATGTCAACGCTTTAAAAATCTCCTATAAAATATACATTTCAATAATCAAAATTTAAATCATCTTTCTGCCCCTTGGGTCTAAGGTTTAATCAGAACGATTCTTACATTTTTGCCTAGCAACACAGAAATGGTCTAGAGAAAAATTTACTTCTGAACATTTTTGGAGCTTTATATAAATTCACATTTTAACATATTTCTACTGAAGCTGAGGTCTGAAGTGATCTATCTCAATTCCATATGTGAAGCAGCGTGGTGTGCATGTGTGTGGGGGTGTCTGTTGGTAGTCTGAATTGGACCTAACCCTGAATGTATAGATTATAGCTGAGGTTGAACTTGAATTAAAAGAAATGCCAGTTTGATTCCCTGCTATCCGAGCTGATCTTTCTACTCCTTGAAGCATATTTCAATAACCCGCTTGTTATCTCCCTCTGAGTTCCCGTATGCTATTATTGTTCTTATCTAAATGTTCACTCGATTATGGGACTGCCCTCTGAACCTGCCATCACTGTTGCTGCTTCATAATGCCCGCAATTATTTCTCTGTGGGCTGCCAGACCCACTAATGATGCTGTTGTTGCTGTGAGAGGCGAGGGCTGAGTGTTCACTTCTGCGGAACGTGATTGAAGCTGGAGCTTGGCTGGTAAGAGCAATGTAGGTCAAAGCAGTCTCAGGATCACTTTGTGGGGGCATTAATGGTGGCAGGGGTTTTTGCACTGAGTTCACAACAACTTACTCCATTAGGGCCCTTGGAGTCTCTTGGGCTTTCAAAAGGAGGGTATTCTTGTGAGTTTGTGCTGTACCTTTTGATTTGTGTGTCACCCACAGCTTCTGCTGAGATCCCCTCCCTCAGGGTTCCCAAGGTTGGTGCTTTTATGGACCCTCTCCAGATCAAAATTCATCTGCTTGTTTAAAATGCTCTGCTCAGAACTGGATGCTGTTTTACTGATGAAAGAATGCATCCAATTAGTTCCTCCAATTTACCAGCCAAAGCAACCTTCCCAGATTTCTGCGCTATCTGGAAGCTGACGGTGAATCCAGTAAGCACAAGATCAATCCTTTCTGTGCTGCTCAACATCTTCATATGTGAATTAGCCTATGTGCAAATAGTGAAGCTCATGATGCTGAAATCACAGATAAAAATTGAGACCTTTTATTACCACAGCTTGAAATTAGTCTTGTAAAATTGTAGAAAAATATTTTGCATTTCAATTTATTAAAATCATGTTGCAGAAGTGTAATATGGTAAATAACACACCAGTGCAGTGGCATAGCAAATGCAGGCTTTGTTCTTGGAAACCTCTAAGCAGCATCAAGTACAGGTCACTAAATGGGGAAGGAAAAGACCATGAAAGAAGTGTCAGACCAAGATTTTACACTATAAGTTATTTCCCACAAACAAGGGTGGGAAGGGAGAAAAAGTAGGGATGAGACGTGCCTCAGTCTTAGGATTTCTTTTGCACTGTCTGTTTAAGACCAACATCTGGTGGATGAGACTCAGTTTTACTTGGATAAATGGGGCCTAAGCCCAAGAGCAACATCTAAAGTAGGCAAGGACAAGATCACACGTGTGTAGGGGAAGACTACAACCCCTGCCTCCCAAAAGCACACATACATACACAAACACAGCCACACACACATATACTCTCACGGGCTTCTGGCTTTGGGATTGACCCCAAGGATGCATCGGGAGACCAATGCAGGGAGTGTACCCTGGGCTATGCCTTGGCGGAGCCAGGTCAAACGGCTTTGTATCATCACGCTGCCAATGAGCCCTCAGTGATTCGCCAGTGACTCTAAGGAAAACACAGAGAAGAATGAAGAAATGCAAGCCTTTTGCTCAGTCCTACTTCTGCAAAGCAGTGGCTTGCACTTCTATTGAAAACAGGAACAAAAAAGTTGAATGCTGTGAGACACCTTGAGTCAGGCAAGTACTTTCCCCCCTCCCAGGAAAAGACAGGGCTGGGCGCCTCACAGGCTGTTTTTCTCACAGATAATTAGCATGGTAATTGTGATGTGTTTAATACACTAGGTGTATTATTACCTAGTGTGAGATGTTAGAGCAACACTGATTGCTTTGCTCTCCCCTGGTCTAATTGCAGCACCTCAAGCCAGAAACCACACGTTCACAGTTCATGCTCTAATGTGCAAGACAGGGACTAGTAAATGGTCTGTTGTGCTCTGAGTGTGTTGTCCTCTCTGGTTTTGTATGTGAGGTTGCTGTGGAGGCGAGCTGCCTAGGATCTTTGCAGAGAAAAGCATAATTTACCTTGAACTCTCTCAGTACTGTGTGGTACTGTGACAGGGAGGGCTGCTAATGATGCAAAACCCTGCCCACAGCCTTGATCTTTACAAGTTGGCTGCATGCACACACATGTGAAATGCTGCTTCAGCTGTTTTTTTAATGAGGGGAGGGAACCCAAGAATGAAGAGGGCTCACTTGCACACCCCTCTGCCAACATGCTGCTTCGTGAGACCTGAAGGCTATTGCAGAGCATTGGAGTTGGACACAAAACCACTTGAAACACATCCCTTATCCCCAGACAGGTATTTTAAAAGAACAAACTGTGTGGCTGTTTTAATACTGAGAAGTACCCTGAGATTAGCTCAGTTGGTTAGACCACGGTGCTGATAACACCAAGTTTGATCTCCATGTGGGCTGTTCACTTGCGGGTCCATTCCAATTCAGAATATTCTGTGGTTCTGTGAAGTATCCTTTAGTTAACAATATGTTAGTTACACTGGCACAGGGCAGCCTTTCTCAACTCATACCAGCACCATAATCAGCCTGTTAGATGTACACAACAAATAAATCCTAATTTTCAGGTAGAATGTGGAAAAATAGGTTTTCCAAGTATCATTCCCCTGTCCCCACTTGACATGACTTTCAAATGGCCTCCTCAAAGACGAGATAAAAGAAACACATATATTGAGAGGACAGTAGACTCAGGTTCAAAAATCATGTCATGCAGTCATCTAATTCTGGTTCTACAGTCACCGAATTGTGTGGTCTTATCCAGTGGTAGACATCTCTCTGCAAGCTTTAGAAATGAGAGCTCTTTGAACGGAGAGTTGGAACAGCCACTGAAGCTGCTACAGATGGGATTTGCTGCTACAATTTCAACAGATAAAATTTAAAGGAAACTTTGTTTCCTGAAAAAAAATAATTTATCAAGCTAGTCAAACAAAGCCTTTTTTTTTTTTTTTTAAGTCAGAACAATTCCTGGGGTTGTCAAGATATCAGGACAAGTAAACTGTGGTGTAAGAGTTGTTCTTCTTTCTTCTGCCTCCCTGAAAGCTTTTCAAAGGGGCCTTAGAAAGCACAGGAGAGGAAGAGCTGGCTGTGGCAGCAGGAAGATGCCTGCCCAGCTGGGTCCCAGCCTCCTCCCCTAATCCCAGTGAGTCTCCAGTTCAGAGCCATCAGTTTGGGTTTGCAAATCACTCCCTTTGGTCTAGTGAAAGCCCTGTAATGACCTGATCCTGCAGAGTCCTCAGGTTTGCTTGGGCTGGAAACTATGGATGGGACTCAGCTGCCATTGCTCAGCTGACCTCCTTTCGGGAAGGAGCACAGTGATGTGCTCACGCTGACGGGACGGCCACACATGCAAGTGCTCTGCACTATCCATCGCCTGCCAGAGGATTTATGTGGAGAAGGATGTAAGGGGACAGCTGACAGGTGCAACTTTGAATGAGGGAAAGGGAAGAAACCAGGATAATAACTTCTGTATGCCTTTTTCTTTCACACTGTGAGCTTTGTGTGGGGTGTTCATCCCTAAAATAAGCTGCCAGCCTGCAGTAGCTGATGTCCACATGCAGCCAGTCCCCCAAGGCAGGACTCCAGTGTAGGCACATAAAGCAGACAGGTGAGGGGGCTGTTGGTGTCAGCTCAGTAACAGTCACACACAAACTACAGCAGCTGAAATATGTACTCCAAAGAAACGTGAAATTGTAATAATACCAGGGAGGCATGGGATAGCCCACAGCCTTAATATCCTACCAGACATGGTTAATGCCATCGTGTTTCCTGCCAGCATAATAGGAAGGACTCCAGCTTCCATCAATTTAGGTGGAGGTCTTATTCTCATTACCGAAACCAGATTCTTCTTTAATGATCTGTGTACTTGTTAATTTTACCCCTAATATTTTAAAATTATTTTGTTCTGTATCATATATAGCAGAAAGCAAATACACCCTAGATTAGACTGCATAGACTAGACTGCAAGGTAAACAGCTGTGAATAAACTAACTGTGTATTGTGCAAAAGATGTCTAATTCACTGTAGTGTCTTTTCTCTGCCTTGTCCCATTTTCCTCTATCTGTATGATCCTGCAGGAAACCAATCCCTGAGACCATAAGATGAAGCTCGGAGGCAGCTCACCTCGACCTTGGTGTCAGTGGTATCTTTGAGAACAACTCTAAAAGGTATTTCTACTGAGAGGTAACAGCCTGCATCAATAAAAATGATCTAATTTGTGAGGCTTCCAGGCCCCAAATGGATGGTCCCACATCCAAGCCCCTTGATACTTTGGGTATGCTTGTGGTGTCACTGCAGTAATGCTGCTCTGGGAAGGGCACAGTGTTGCTTCTTCCCTTCTGGTGTCTCCTGCTGTGCTGTGCAGTCCAGCACTCACACCCTGAGCATGAAATTTAGGGAGCAGGAATGGCTGAGGGCTTGTTTTTCTCCTCACATGAAGCTATGCAGATCCACAGCACAACATCAAAGCTCAGCTCTGCTCCTCTGCTGCTGTAGATGTTAGGCAAGTTTGGCTACTTTGGAATGGGATAAATAGATGTGGGAAGAAACATGCAAAGAAGTAATAAGGAAAACTGCTTTAAAGTTAGAAGCTTAAAGTGCTATTTTTTTTTCCGTTTTCTTTCTTCTTTCCCTTTCTTTTTGTTTATTTATTCTTTTTCCTTTCTTTTTTATTCCTTCTTTGCCTTTATTATTTTCATTCTTTTTTCTTTCTTTTTTTCCTTTATTTTCCTTCTATCCTTTTTTTTTCTTTGTTTTTGTGTTTTGTTTTACATTTGCACTGTGACGTGTTTTTGAACTGGGTAATTTGCAGCAGCTTAGAAGAAATTGGTGTGACAGGCAGCACTGCAGAAAGACTGTATCTCAGACTCACCCTCCCTGGAGCAGCTGCTCAGGATGCCTGTGATACAATGCTTTTCCTGTCTGAGGAGCAAAACAATAAGGCCCAGACACATTGCTTCTGGAAACGCTTGCTTATAGGCAAACTTTTTACACGTTGAATGTGCTGAAACTATAAACTAGATTTTAACTGGGCTGTGTAGATCTCAAGTGAAAAGTACTTTCAGGAATTGCAGAGAAAGCTCTTAGCTGGCTTTACCAAATACATTTTTTATTATAAAATTTCAGAAGTGTTTATATGGCATATATATGAGGGGTTTATATTAGAAAATTATAAATTCTATGATTCTATGTGATTGTACATTTATGAATTCTACATTAGTCATATATTGTGAATTATTTGCAATATATAGCCTATGTAATGATATAAATTTGCACTTACAAATTTCTTATGTATTTCTAAACAGTTTCTTGTATGTAATCTCTGATTTGCTTAGCATCATTTATTAACTATTGAGTTACAGATGACTTCTCTCCAGTGTATGACTCAGCTCCTCCCAGGTCCCTTGGGAGTCTGTTTGCATGCCCATGAAAAGCTGTATGGCAAAGCCAAAACAGCGCAGCGTGGCACATGTGCCAGCTCTACTGTCCTAGTAAAAATAAGGCAAAAGAAAGAAGGCATAAGTAGGCATAAGTCACTAAAGACTAGCATTTTGCAAAGGGAAGACACTGGACAATCTCTGGTGCTGACTTACAGGCAACTGGGCAGTGAGGAGGGAAGCAAAGCAAAAACTGGGGTCCCTTTTGCTGTTAAGTGCTGATGTTAACTCCTTATCCATGCTCCTGCAAGGAAAGGAAGGTTCAGACATGTACAGTTAATGAGCAAAGCAACTGAATAAATACAAAGGGGCCAAACAAGTTTGTATTTTGCATTTTTATCAGTCTTCTGAGAGGCTGTATACAGTAACCACGGATAGACTGGGGTGCGGGGAGGGACTCGGTGCTTTGAAAAGAGGAAATTCCCCTCTCCCAGCGAAGGAAACGTGCTGCGTCTCAGAAGGCTCAAGAAGCGGTTGGCAGCTGTGTGCAGGAAGAGAAAAACCTCTCATTTTGAACTTGAAAGCAAAACCAGGTTTCAAGGGAACAGTAGAGAAGTGTCACCAGCAAAGTCTACGGTTAGGGTGACCTATACAGTTCCTTTACGGAAATGTAAATATGTAGGTAAGAAAGCATGTAGAGAAAGGCCTTTCCTTGAGGTTTTCCTTTGAAGTGATAGGAGAAGCCTCCACAGATTTTGTGCATTTATGAATAGACCTTTTTAAAATGAGGGCTGCAGGGGAAAGGTGGAACTGCAAGCGAGGCTGTTTCAATAGCTGTTTCAAAACCAGCTTTAGTGGCCTGAATGTTATGGTGTTTCTGGGTGTTTTGCTGCCCCACCCTGCTCCTCGCCTATGTGAGCCACTGGGACTACTGAAAAATATATTTTTGTGTCAACTGATGCTGACTTATGCTCTTTTGTTTGCACAATAAAAAAATCTCCTTCGAACTTGACAATGCTTTAAAACCCCAGCTTTGAAGCAAGGCTTGAGGATGCAGTGATGATCTCCTGATTTCTGTTTAGCCTTGCCTAGAGCCTGTCTGCTTCAGCATGCAAAAGCAGCCATGGGGGGGGGGTGTTGCCATTGGCTCTGCAATTCCATCTGGATTTTACCTTTTTCTGCCTTTTTCAGGTGAAAGCTCACATGGTGTCTCAGTGTTGAAGTGGCAGGCAAACATGGAGTGGTTGCTGCACCACCTCAGAGCCTGAACTTACTAGTGCAGGAAATCCCTTTGCAGTGCCTGCCCTGCGCCACCACGGCTTCAGCAAAAGGCCTGTGCAATGTCGGCAGAGGATGTAACTGGGGGAAACATGCTCTGAGAAATGTTCTTATATATAGCAGAGAGGAAAGGAACAGAGAAGTAAGAAAAAGGTTGCGCTGTGGTTTTCAGGCTCCCATTGCCCAATTGCCTTTGCACCGTGAGGTCCTTCTGCCACGTGCCCTGTGCCTTCATCAGGGGTGTGGAAGAAAAGTAATGCTGATGCTTTACAGGAATAACCTCTGAGCCACACTACAGCAGCTTCATCTTCAAGAAACAAAGTGAGAAAAAAGATAAATAAGTCCAGTACAGCACAGTTTCATGCACTGCTAAGATCTGTGAGTGTTCCAGCACATGGGCTTGGGTATTGTCATGCGTCTGGTCCATCGCAGCAGGAGAGATCCATCTAGACCAGGTCAGCCAGAGAGCCACCGTGAAGGGAAAGCAAACTTTAAAAGTAAATGAGATGAGTCATGTTGCCTGTTGGCATAAATGCAAAACATTTAGGAGCAGGAAGCATCTTTGTTTTTGTGCACGGGAATGTGCTTCAGGTCAGGTTATCACTGAGGTACATTTCTGGCCAGCAAAATAAGGGCTTGCTCCAGCAGCAAGACCATCCTGCCTGTCAAGGAGAAGCAATTTCATGCAGTTCAATGTCAGGTACCCAAGTCTTTGCTTTTCGTATTTAGCACTGTATTTAACAACACTGAATCTGAAACCAGAATCCTGCCACCTACTGCTAATGGAAATTCCAGATGTGTTGTGTGCACAGCAGTCTCAACCCTAAAAACCTTAAAACCCTCAAAAACCTCACCAAAGCTCTCTGGGACTGGTCAGCTCTGCACAGGCTGGAAAAAATATCTGTGAGCCATCTCAATTGCCCTACTGGGACCTTGAGCCGATGTAACGATGTCTGTGGCAGCGCTGGCTTTCTTGGAGAACAAAGTGCTGTTTCCTTTTGCGCGCTGAACAAACAAACAGTGTGTGGGAATTGGTTCCTACAGCAATCCTTTTCTTTTTTTTTAATATTCAAGTCACTTTTTTAAGTAACTTTTTTTAAACTGACCTGTTTAGTGCTTGGGAATGCCTGTGACTGCCTTCTGAAACTCAAAAACTGCAGAGGTGTCCATGGCAAGAATAGAAGACTATTGCAATGATACCAGGGATGGTTCTGCAGTTAAAATTAAGCACAGAAGTGTCTGAAAACTGTCAGTCTGCCTAGTGCCAGAATTCATTATGAATTTGGTTTTTAATATAGTTTAGGGTAGAAATCATCCTAATTATCCTTTCTCCTTTAATTAAATAAGAAGTTTGCCATTAGCCTCTGCTTCCCAAAACATTAGACTCATGTTTTGGATTGAGCTTCTTGTGCCTGGGAAACGGGAGAACTGAAGAGAAACTGGGGAGAGAGACAAAGAGAAGACTGAAGTATGTAACTATCTTTGCCGCTTGTCTGTCTCCAGGTACTGGCTCAGTGAAACTTTCCACACTAACGGTGTCTTTCAGCTCTTCTGTTCCAGCTGTCAGCTGCTCACTGCTTAACCAAGAATTTGGAGGCAAATTTCTTGCTGTCTTATAAATAGTCCACTTATAAAGCCATGTCCAGAGTATACATAGATACATTTTAAATCTAGGGAAGGGAGGTAAGAGACATTTGTGGAGATGAGGGAGGTGTAGTCTTGTATATGCAAATTCTGCCCTGAAGCATTTTGATTCATGTAGTAAAATTGCTTCTAACAAAATTAACTTTATGTGGATATTGTTTGAAACAAGAATTTCAAATGTTAAGCAATGAACAATCCTACGGAAGGATCACACATACACTGAAGCTCTGCTCTAATACTTATTATTTATACTTCTGAAAATGCTTAACTTGATGCATGTATGCTAGTTCGGTTTTTAGAAATCTGAATCAGTTTAAACCCTCTGTCTTCATAAACTGCAGTGAAAAAATTAGGTATGTGTATATATTTTAAAATGTTATTAGAAATATAGATGCTGAGGTTCAGAGAGTTAATAATTATTTAAATTACTCTATTTTAAAAAATAATAAACAAGACTAGTTGAACAGGTTTAATAAGAGAAGAAGTCAATTTAATTGAAAGTAGATATACAGTGATAGCAGCTCCTAAAGCCAAAATATGTGAGCTCATCTTTTGCTAGATGCATCAAGCTGATTTCTTCATTTATCACTTCTGGTTTAGGACTAAATGTTTTGAGTAATTACATTTTTTTTGTAGAATAACATGAGAGGTGTGAGGATAACAGTAGCACCAAATACAAGAGAAAATGAGTGCGACACTAAATAAAATAATTTCTTTGGTGTCTGTACTCATGTAAGAAATTTATCATCTATTCTATATATCCCAGTGTTGGAATTATTTGTTACAAATAGTTGTCCAAATTTACCCAAATTATTTTCCTTAAGTACAAATTTACCCAAATTATTTTCCCAGAAGTACAGTGCTCTCTCTCTTTTAGAATTCAATTAAAAACATTGCAGTGAATTTTTAATACCATTTAGAAAACTGGATGTAGGTGCAATATTCTGCCTTGATGCAGGGCCTCACATGCCACTGGCCTGGCCCAGTCAGCAGCCTCACTGCTCATTCCTGCCTGGCTCCACACCAGTGGCTCCGACGCTTGTTCCCTCCAGACCAGCAGCCTGTGGCCCTCTTCAGCTCGTTTTAAAAAGCCGCTTAGTTTCATCTACTGCAGGGAGTTGTGCAATCTGCCAGCCACAGGCACAAAAATCATGCATTGGTTGCAAAACTAAGCTGGAGAGTTAACATTTTTTTCACTCTTTATATATATACATATTTGTATGTATATTAGATATACACGTGTGCACACACACATATACGTGTATACTTGTTTGTGTTGACACTTCAAAGCCTTTGGGTTCTATCTGTTTTGCATTTGCAAGGGCTTTTGTTGCTGTTTTTTTCCCAGGTACCAGAGTGCCTTAATGACTTAGGGATGTAACATTTTCAATGTGCTATACGTGAGAATTGAGGCCAAGCTTCTCTCTTCATCCAGGGCAGGCTGTCACACAGGAACCAGGAGAAGGTATATTCTGTCCCTCCCATCCTGTGGGGATCCCAGATGGCTGCTGTGTCAGCTGAAGTCACTCTCTGCTCTGTAACCTCTTCCTGAAGACTAGAGGATACAGGTTCAACAGCCAGAAGCCTTCTGGGAAACTGCTTGAGAGTCAGCAGGTACCCAGGAGGTGAAAGTGGCTTTTCTTTGTATTTAAAGTAATACATTTAAAGTGTAAAGTTTTCTATTTTTCTCTAAATTAAAGCTACTTTCTGTTTAAACATTTACAAGTCTTTCAAGCACATACCTCTGCCACATACAAATGCGTCTGTCTTAGAAATCCTTGGAAATACTGTAGTCTGTGTTTTCCATAATCCTTCAGAAAATCAACTGTTCCAAGGGCTTACAGCTGGAGTAATTTAACAGCCGTGCTGCAAAAATGGCAAGGTAAGCAGCCCAGCAGAAGATACAGTAGCCAAAACTCTTATCTCAGGACCCACTGCTCGGAGAATTGCATCAGCTTCCCCTAGTAAATAATGAGTCTTATTTATAAATTCACATACAATACAGAAAGGAAGCTTGTTGCACTATTGTGGAGATCAAAGATTCAACGTGGGTTTTTTCCTCCTTCTCCTGTTTAGAGAACTAAAGTCAGTTTGTATGTATCTGTGTCCTTCTTCTTATTGCTGAGACCAGCACAGTTGATAGCCTTGGGTATTTTTTTAAAGCTGCTTCTAAAGATAAACATTTTGCAAAAATTCCCAGAATGCAAGTGCTCAACTTAATTTGCCCAGAGCTGTACTATTTGTTGGCAGGCTGCTCCTTTAGAGGGGGTTTTAAGTTCCAATTCGATGTATCACATATTAATACAAAATGAGAAACTTTTTCTGTGGTCAAGGGTGAAATCCCTGCCTTACTGAGGTCCAAAGAAACAAAACTTTTATTGATTTAGTTCAATAATATTCAGAGGCTAATCCCAAATCTCCTGCTCCCTTATTAAGAACCATTCTATCACTGAAAAAATATGAACAAAGTTATACAGCCTAATCAAAACAATCCCCAAAGTGCCTGAGCACACTCACAACAGCTTTTAAACTTGGATTGTCGTTAGTTTTTCAATGTCAGTTTGAGAGGCAGAGAGGAGATGTTTTTTGTTAGCATGCAGAACTCAGTCTGCCTTTTCTTTCAGGTTATACTTTGTGATGTGACAGACAACACACAGGTTCATCACCACCTTCTTGGCTGCAGCAGGTAATTTGTTCGGCTCCATGTGTCATGATGACAGCTGCCAGACAGGAATTTTCTTCCTCTCATGCAAACAGTAGATGTATTTTCACTGGACAGGCTAGGATGTTTTGATCAAATATAATACTAGAGAGAAAAAGAAAGAGAAAACATATAGTGTGTGTATATATATACACTAAAGTCTATATAGTGTATACACATACACACCCATTTATATGTACACACACATCTATGCATAAATGGGTTGCTTAACAGCCTATAAAAAACGCCACCTTACTATGAGTCTTATGGGTGTTTTCTTCTACAGAAGCAAAGGGCTAATCAGGAGAGGAAACAGGAGCTGAATTACCCCACCCACCTCCATAGCCCCTGCTACAGCCATTTATCACAATGTTTCTCAACCTTCTTAAGTTGGCAGCTTTTTAGGACTTGTTTTTGCAACCTTTTACAAAACCTATTAAAAAATGGTATAATAACAAAGTAACAATAACACTTGTCTTAAGCACAGGTGTGGTAGGGACACATGGGAGTTCCCCAGACAGTCATGGGCTGTCAGATCTGGCTGCGGGACAGAAAAAGATTAACTTTGACCAGAAATGTTGTAAGTATTCCAGAGCAAAACAAATTTAGGGGAGTTCATGGCCAGCACTGTGCAGTCTGTTAAGGTTGTATTTCCTGAATATTGATTTTGTCAATTTAAAGTGAGTTACACTCAATGAAAAATAGGTACTGGTATCAGAATTGCCATCTTTTAATATTTATATTTAAAAAAATGAAAATCTCCATCTTATTACATCAGAATAAATAAGAGGTGGACAGAAACAGTGTGAAAATGACTGTAAGAATTTTTTTCGCCTAGTCAGTGGAAATTTAGTTCATTATTTGGTCTCTAAGTGCTATTGAAACGAGAACACTTCTGAGATGATTTTATTTGTCAGCCACAAACATTTTCAGGTAAAATCAAAAATAGGAGGACAAAAAAATGCAAGATAGATATTGAATATGCAAATATTAGTAAGCAACTATGCAAAATAAAGGTAAAAGGATTTAGAGTAAAATTTAATGTTTCAAGAAGTATCTACAGATCATTGACTAAAAAAGAGACTAGCTATAACCTGAATTTAATTCCATAGACTTGACTTATCTGAGGACTACTGTGATACCTGTTTTCATATGGTGTTAAGAAAGCACACAGTTATGTGTGTCCAGATGAGTTAGCTTAAATATCAGTACACATAATAATGCCAGCAATTCGTAATATCACAGGCACCAACTGTTAATAACCAACTGGTTAATAACAATGCAGGGGACTCAAATGGTCACCAATTCTGAACTGTAAGTCTTGGGATATTAACTAGAATTAATATACCAGTGGGATTTTTTAAAAATATATTTTATTAAATTAAAGATATTTTAATATCTTGAAATACTAAATTCAGTGCCTCCAGAGGCAGAAATTCAGAACCTCCAGAGGGATTCATTGTTTGGAGAGAGTTCCTCTGTAAAGTCAACCTGTTCTGCCAAGGCCAGACAGAACTACTGAACTCCCTGGGACTACTTTAGTAACACCACACAAGCAAGCATAAACTGTAGGAGTATCCGTAGCTGTCACTTAGAGCTACTTGAGACATCAGTCCTATAGAAAACCCCAGATTCCCCTTGGATATACTCAGATTTTACAGAGTGCAGACAATATTTTTCATATTGAAATTTTACATCATCAGCTATTTATATTTTCCCTTAAGCTTAAGCAATTTTTACTGCTAAGTGTGTGTGTCCTGAGGAGACTTCAGAACCATAACTTACACCTGATGAAATTTTTCCTGGCCCTTGCTGGAGAAGAGTGTAATAAACCCATTTTTGGTTATCATGTTGTTTTCCACCATTCTCCTGAGTTTTGTCACAGCTAACACTCACTTCCCATTGCTTTTTGAATGGCTTCCTCCCAAACCCCTGTCCTGTTCTCTGCCTCCAGCTGAAGAGCATTTTGGAGACAGGAATCAGAGAAGGAAAGGTGTTTTTCTCCTCTGGAAGAGTCACTGTCTCTGAAAGTGTCTCTGGATGTGGCACTTGGGGATATAGTTTAGGGGGATTATTGTGGTGCTGGGGTGATAGTTGGACTAGATGATCTTGAAGGTCTTGTCGAACCCTGATGATTCTGTTATTCTCATTAAAATGAAAGCCTAGAAAATTATTTTCTCAGTTTTATGTCATGAGATTGAGATGTTTTATGTAGATATAGGCAAATTTCAAACACTGGAAACCTAACTTGCAGCAGTGCACAGGTAATATCATTTTGATGGTCATGGTCCTGACTGGATTTCCTATTTGTCCCATTTATTAGTTGTCCTGTGATGGTCCCACAAATATTTCTGAAATAATCTCTCAAGTGTATACCAATTATCACTGGCAGAATTGCAATAAACAGTTCTTAATGGCCCAGTAGGTTTCTAATCCAGGTTCAGTAAGCAATTCCAAACCAAAACCATTTCTCTGAAGGCAAGTTTATTCTCTAAACAAGATTTCCACTGAAAACCTTCATGTTTAAGCATATTAATTGTAGACCTCTTCTGCCAACAAAATGAAGCAGGTTCACTCCAAGGAATAGTTACGGTAATTTAGACAACTACTGAAAACAGTTCTTAACATTATGGTTGTGAACTGTGCAACAGTAATACTGCAAAAATCTTAGCTGGAACCAAAATATACACTATCTGAAGTCAGAAATTAAGCTTCACTTGCATTCTTTTGCATAGTAAATTATCAAGTGTCTCTTAGATAAAGCTGATTGCCTTAACTACAGAACAAATTTATTCTGGCTGCATTTATTAAAATCTATATTTACACATGATTCCTGTTTGACTGAGTAACTTTTAATCTCATTTAAATGTCTCTTACTGCATCACATAGTGAAAAATACGATGAATGTATGAGAAAATATAACTGGACCTCTTTGGTATAAAAATAGGAGTGATACAAAACAAATTTTTTAAAAATTTGCTTGTGAAAATTAAAAATTTCAAGGCCAAAATAGACAGAATAAATAGTAAAATATATATATTTTTAAATAATTCACACATGAATGCCCATTTCCTGCAATCACGTAGGGGAAAAAAAGCTTGCCATACTTACTCTTAATTCAACATTATAGCTACAAAATTCAACCCCAAAACAAACAAACAAACAAGCAACAACAAACTGTTGTTGGTTGGTTGGTTGGTTGTTTTTTTTTTATCTGGGATTTTTGCCATATCTGCGTGGCACTGCCAGTTTTCTGTATGGGGCAATGGTGGTCTTGTCTTTAGGGAATTTTCCTTCATTTAGAAAGCTTTATTAGAACAGAGTATCACTTGTCAGCCTGTACCCAAATTCAGACAATTTGGGCGGTCCATAAAGATTGTGCAAACACAAACACGACTGTATTTCACGCTTAAAGCACTTCATCACTTTTAAGATCCCAACACTGGAAACAACTTATTTGAACACTAAACCTCACTGTTAAGGACAATGTGTTAATTTTTTCACAACCCATTTTTCATCTGCCCGCTCAAATATTGCTTAGACTTCCTGATTTCAAAATCTGGCCAGGAACTCGAATGGCCTTTCTGAGAAAGTTGCCTCAAAAGGACAAGGGTAACCAAACGCTGCTGCTTTTTAGCCCTTTTGTATTTCTCTTTCGGAGAGAGAGGGGCTGTTTTTACTGCATTTTTAGCATATTTGGGGTTTGTTGGGTGCTGGAGGTGCAGGGCTGCAGGGAGCACAGCCTGTTCTTCGGTCAGTGTGGGAGCACTCGCGGTCTCGCCACCTCAAAAGCCGCCTCCGCTTTTTTCCTCCCCTTTTCTTCTTTTGGAGAGATTGGGGATATTTTTAGTGTCTTTTTACCTCATTTTTACCACATTCTGCCTTTTTTTAGTGCTGGAAGTGCAGTGCTGGAGGGAGCACAGCCTGTTGTTCGGTCAGTGTAGGAACACTCCCGGTCTCGCCGCCTCCACTTCCCCCCCACTTTTTTATTTTTCTTTTTGAGAGAGAGAAGTACGTTTACTGCCTTTTTACTACATTTTGGCGTTGTTGAATGCTGGAGGCGCACGGCTGGAGGAAGCACAGGCTGCTGTTCGGCCAGTGCAGGAGCACTCGCGGTGCCGGAGGCGGCTCTTGAGGCGGCGAGACCGCGAGTGCTCCGTAAACAAAACGGGGGTTTTGTTTACCACCCTGCGGCGGGGCCTGTGTGGCGCAGGCGGCTTGAGCCTGCCCCCACCGCCACGACAACGACAGCGACAACGACACCGACCCTCCCTTCCCGCCATCCTCCCCCGGCCGCAGTGAGGGGAGGTGGGAGGGCTGGGGAAATCGCTCCACTCCCCCCTCACCACCATCACGGCGGGGAGGGGCCGTGCGCGCGCCCTACGGCGACAGGGGGGGCCGGACCGCGCCATCGTGCGGACGGCCAATGGCGTGCGGCCACCCCGCGATTCAAACGGCGCCCCGCGGCCAATGGGCGCGGTTGGCGGGCGGGCGAGGGGGCGGGGCCGTGCGCGCGGCCGTAACCGTCGCTCTGTGGGGCGGTTGTTCCCTCAGCGCAGCGCGGCGCGCGCTCGGGCCCCGCTCCCGCCGCTCCGCGGATCCGCCTCCGGCACGGCCCGGCCCGGCCCCGCGCGGGCGGGCTCCAGGTAACGGGGATGGCGGCACGCGCGGGCCGGGATAACATCCCCCCCCTCAAACCCCTCCCCACGGCTTTCCCTCTGCGGCCTTCCCCGTGGTGGGGAAGCGCTCCCGCCGATCGCCGCCGCGGCCACGCTCGGGCCTCTCTCGCGGCGGGCGGCGGAGCGGCGCGGGCCGCTGGTTCGGGCTCCGGGGGTGGCGGGGCCGGGCGCCCCCGCTTTGTTCGGCGCCGCCGCGCCGGGCCCTGCGCCGGGATAGGCCGCCGAGGGGCGGTGCGGCCCCTCCCTTCCCCCGCGGCGGAGGCCCCGCGCCAGGCCCGGGCCGGGAGCGCGGGCGGGGCGGGGCCGGGGGGCTGGGCCTTGCCCGGCACGTGGGTTCCTTCCTGTCAACAGCGCCCCGTCGCCGCCGCTGCCCGGGCCCTGCGCGGGGAGTGCGAGTTTCTGCCGCGTCCCCGCCGCTCGCCGTGCTTCCGCTGGAGAGCCTCTTTAAAGGGGAAATCCCTCGTTTCCCAGCCCCAGGGTTGATGGGTTGTTATTTTTTCTTTGAGGCTGATGTGTGCTTGTTTGTAGTGGTGGCGCTGATTTGGCTTGGACAGGGGTAGGTCCCTCCACCGTCTGGAGGTGAAGAGATGGAAATGTGGGGAGTGTAGTGGTGATGCTGAAAAGGTCCTGCACAGCTCAGTCTCTGGCGAATTCAGTAGCAACTTTCCGTGTAGGCTGTCTTGTTAGCTTCGGCTATCAGTGTTCTCCTGCATTTCTTCTTGCATTCAAATGGCTTCTTCCTGTGATATAGAGAACATTATCTAGCAGTGGTGAGGTCTCAGAACTACTAAGTGGAACCACTGAATATGTATGAACTTTGATCTTCGAAGAGGGAAAGCTTGTTTAGTGTTTATTTATGTATTCTTAAAACTGGGTACCCAACCTCTGATGATGGGGTATGATCTTTCAGTGGCTGCAAGCTTGGCAGTCTTATTTTCTCCACAGTGAAATATCTTTCCACATCTCTAGTGAGAGAGCTATTAAGATAGACCAGAAATGGATGCATGGGGTAATATGTTTCTCAGCTGTCTTTCTCTTTACTTATTTCATTCTCGGTTGAATCAGCAGTAACTTTTCTTCTTGGCTAGCTTTTAACCTCCAGGGAGTTTTGTGTTAATTATCTTACTTGGTATAGGATACAAAATCTTTTTTTTCCATTCCCTTTGGGTCTAGGTTTCTAAAGGAAAATAGTAATGATGCAGAAAACATAAATTTCATCTCATAAGTAACTATAGTTGCAATCTGATGTCTGTACAGCACAGGGATCATCATATGAAATAATTTTCCTTGGATACATAATTTGAAGCCCTGTGAATTGAAAGTCTTGTGTAGGAACTGTGAACATTAGGCTGATGCCAGCTGATACCCTGAAAATTATCAAGGGTGTGTGTAGAGCTTGAAAGAGCAGTAAATTCAAAATGTAATCTCTTAGGTGTGTTTTTTTTGAAGACTTCCTGTCTTTATTTTTTTTTGATGTCAGTAATCATGTCTGTTATCTGAACAGATGAATGCTGCCTTTAAACAGTGTAGCTTTTAGAAGTGGGATAGAAGGAATGAGGGTTGTAAACCCCCTTCACAGGAGGAACTGGGGTGCAAAACAAGGTGGTTACTTTTGATAGGGTAGGAAGTTATATTTACTTCTTTTATTGTTTAATGTTTGAGCTTATCATTAAGCTTTAATATTTAAGGAAAAGAATTGGAAAATACATGGGTTTTCCCATTAATAAGATTGTCCATTACTTTTGAGTCAGAGGATAATATTTGCACTTGCTTAAACTTATTTATTAATCAGGAATTTCATATCAGTGGTATCTACATCGGGCTGAATTACGTAACATTGATTTAGTTGCAGGTCTTCCAACCACATTTTTCAACCTCTTAAAACTAACCAGCTCCTTTTTAGAACCAAGTTGGAGGAGGGAAAGGTCTTCCTGCCTTTCACAAGACTTAAATCATCAGGTTACCTCTTCTTTGGGCTGTTTTTATGTTTGCATACAAAACTGTTGGATTTTGAAGTCTAGCAGAGAATTGCATTTCATTATCCCTGTGAAATTATATCTAAATTTTGAAGGGGTTATTAAAAATTGTAAAAATCAGTGTACGTGTCTTTAATAACAACTTTTGAAAAAATGTTTCCCTTTTGCAAAAAGGACTTACCCTCCAAAGATTCTGTATTTCACACCTTTGTCTGAGGATCTGCCAGCTTTGTTCTGGTCAGGCTCTAAATTTACAGATGATGGCTGAGGTGCTCCAGGTCAAGAGAAGAAACAGTTGGCTGGAGTGTAGGAAGTACAACAGCAGAGAGGAAATGAAGTCATGTGTGAGGTTATGACATCTAGTGAAAGCTGGAGGACCAGTATTTAGACTATTTGTGGAAGAGAAGGAAAAAGCTGTAACTGGGGGAGGCTGGGGAAAGAGCAGTAGTAGACATGGATCTGCTGAAAAACTGTCTTTTGAGTGAGAAAACCGGCCAAGGAGACATTATGGGGATTGAGATCAGGCTTGAGCCCAGAGGTGGCAAAGAGGAACTGGAACTGCTTGGGTGAACAAGGGCGGAAAAGACAGGAAATCCTGAAAGAATTAAAGAATGGGGAGATAAGGAGAGAATGAAGAATTTGAAATGAAAATATGGAAGTTGTATTTCATGGAGTCATCAGAAACAGGGCTGTGTATTTGAGTGGGTTAAACTGACTGGGATAAAACAGTCGAAGGAGTGGGAATTCAGAAAGAATAAGACATTAACAGGAAACTGGGATGAGAAACACTAGTTAGAAGGCAGAGGAGCTGGAAGAGCATGTGCCTACAAGCACAGACTAGAACTCTGATAATTTTTCCAACTGGCAAGTGTCAGTGAAATCAAATTATAAAACTTACTCTTTTTTCTCCTGCAAATGTTTTACAGCAGAGGAGGTGGCCAGAGGCCAGATGTTTCTGTTCTGAAGCAGTTAGGAATATTAGTGGTAAAATCCATATGAGGAAGTTTTGCTGAGTTTTTAGTTTCTTTGACTTGGAGAGCTACACAGGTGTAAAAACTTAACAGCAGCAGCTTTGGAAAATGCCAGAATGAATGTTGATTTTAAAAAACCTCACTGAGCCCCATCCTCCAAGAATCTAATCTAACTTTTCCCTGCAGGTTAGTTAATGTGTAATGAATGAGTATCTAGTTAAATACTTGCTTTCACCTCAGTTTGTGTGGCTTCACATCTTATTTGTAGCAAACAAGTTAAAATGTCCCTCTCCCCTGTCCATTCTAAGTTCCTTTGTTCACTGTACAGATGGTGCTAATACATACATTGGTATATATTTTACCTTAGACTTTTCAGGTAGCCTCACTTGATATATGAGACCTGAGACTAGGAAATTCAGGTTAAAAGTATGTTCTGCTTTGAATATTTATTTTCAGAAGGCAATGACACAATACAAGGCATTTTACAAACAGTTATACAGGACTTTACATTTAAAAACAACTTTCTCTAAATTGTAGTTGTGGGTTTTTTCCAGCACTTGGTGTGGTGAACCAAGGGTAGTAGTCACTAGCACCATGTTTTGCTAGTATCAAGTAAAAACCTTATGGTGCTGAAAGGGGGATAGAATTTAGTTTTTCAGGTTACTGTGTGATTGCTCTGATACTGTACTTTGTTTTCCTGTGGACCCCTGCAAAAGGCAGTACAAGCCTTGTGCTAAATAGGTGGAAAAGAGAAAATAATTATGCCCAGACAGGAGCCTAAATTCTGAAGTTTCCTAACTTTCGAATGTTTGGCATAATAAATTGAAAAAAAATGTAGTGTGGCTGTAAGTGTTGAAGTGATTGGGAATGTTTAATGTTTAGAAATCATCATATTGGTAATATCTGTATAACCACAGGGAAAGTGGGTTAGAGGACTCTTAAATACCATCTAATTTGCATTTCCCCCTCTAGATAAGATGAGGTGCATTATGTAATTTTGGTCAAATATGTGCTCTGCCTGGTGATGGAGGTTGTATATCATAGTTGAATACTAGTCTAATACATTTGAACAGTTTTCCAGAATATGTATCTTCCGTCTTCACTCTATTTGGAAAATAGATAATTGCTGTTTTCTTGTCACATAACTTTTTCTCTGTGTAAAGTGGAGAGTTGTTTAAAGTTTCCCCTTTCCAGCCTAAATGATACAGAAAGAGAGTAGGGGGAAAGTAAGCCTAATGTTTAGCTGTCCCGTGCACTGACTGATTTATTTTCTAGGGATTCTTTTTGGAAAATGCCAAGCCGGAGGTATGCTGATGGCGAGGTGGTGATGGGCCGTTGGCCAGGAAGTGTCCTGTACTATGAAGTACAAGTGACCAGTTATGATGATGTTGCTCATCTTTATACTGTCAAGTACAAAGATGGAACTGAACTTGCACTGAAAGAAAGTGATATAAGGGTGAGTACACGTGTATGTAAGTATCACTGCTTCTAGTGGAAGATTACACCAACTCTGTGATGTAGCTAAAAGTACAACTCAGAATTGGATAGTGATTTTACAAGTTTTTATTAACTGTGTCTTCAAGGAATTGGGGTTAAATATTAGCTTTTTCCTGTGGGACCTCTCAGGTGTAGTTAAGTTCTGAAACCCCATCTTTAAAGAAGCGTGATTGTTTGCTTTGTGTTGAAAAAAACAGTGATATGTTTGGGGAAAAACAAGACTGATTGTTTAGAGACTCTGTCGCATGATTCTTCATGAAAAATCAGTTTGGGGTGCCTTATAAAGGCACTGATCAGAGGGCTGATGCTAATTTGACTTTTTTCCACCTCTAAAGAAGAAAATTTGAAAACAAATGGAAACCTGTAGTTAAGGATCACTGTAAATATAAATAGCGTGTGCCCTTTAAGCACATACTTAAAGCATCTGCAAATAGCTTGTCCTGCTTTAGGTCCTCAAAGGCTCCATAAGGTATTTTGCTACATTTGTGACATTTAGAGACTCTTGAGAGAGGTTCATGGCATATGCATGTGAGCACATTCCTTCCTCTTTACGTATCTTTCTTATTTCATTTTTTTAACTAATAAAGGCCTTTAACACTCCATATTTCAGTTTTCACTTCAGTTTAAAATGTGATAATGCATGAGAAAAAAAACTCCTGTTTGAATGTTCACTGTAGTTGATTTTTGTGGCCTGTTCTGAAACCTGCATAAGTTCAAAGCCAACTTATGTGTCTTTATGTGAACTGTATTTCACTTCTTGGTGAAAGTGTGCATGCCCAGTAACTGGCCTTTTATTTTGGAACCAAAATGTTTCTGCCTTGGGGTAATCACTGCTTCAGGACTTTCTAACCTGTTGTTACTTTCTGCTTGCAGGTTAGCAAACTCAAGCTGAGGAAAAGTCTTTCGTTGTCATGAAACATTTATGCATTATAAAAGTTGCATTCTGGAAATGTTACATGGGAAGCAGAGAAATTAAACAATACTTTTGTGGAAAACAGTTTATTAAATTAGTTATCACATCTAATTAAACGAATTAGCTGACTTGGATTTTTTTAGTGTTGATTTGATCTGCGTTGCCTTAAACAGCTGATGACATCTTGCTACGTCAAATGCATTAATAAAGCTGAGTAATGGAAATATGGAAATGAGAGCAGTCTCTTAGGGCTTAAGAGGCAACTATCAATTCACTTCCTTATGCAAAGGATTGAGAGGCCTAAGGGCTTGGTGCTCACATTGGTAGTTTACATCCATATCCTGATTTCTGTAGTTCTGAGAGGGATTGTCAGAAGTAGTTGGACCTGGGACAGGATTGTTTGGGAATAACCAGCAAAATGGGTATGCTGCAGTTGCTCTTTTTTAACAGCCTTTGTACAGCATCAGTAAAGGAAATTAGAGACAAATCTACAGAGCTGTATGCCAGGGTCCTTGTTGCAAAAAACCCACCTTGTTTCTAACATTGTTCTTTGGAACGCAGATAATATTTTGCTTTCTTCCCTGCTTTCCTTTAGTCTCAGTCATCATTCAAGCACAGGAAGAGCCAGTCTTCTTCAAGTTCTCCCTCCAGAAGAAGCACCAGCAGATCTCGATCCAGGTCTCCTGGTCGGCCAGGGAGAGGGAGGCGTCGTTCTACTTCCCAAAGCAGAGAACATAAAGATGACAAAAAGAAAGCCGTTCAGGAAACCAGCATAGCTCTACCAGCGGTATTAGTTTTGTTTGTTCTTTGTGGGGGGGTTGCTGCATTTTTTTTTCTAAACCCAAATTTTTGCTATTTGTGAAAGTTTGGTTTCGTATGTACTGCGTTTATCATTGTAAAGGCCAGCTGTAGGTGATGTTCCTTGAACAACATAATTACCTGCAAAAGTGTATCTGAGAACTGCCTTTTTTTTCTTTGAAAATAGGGTTTCTGGCTTTCGGAGTTTGAGGAAATTCTTGAAGTGTAAACTTACGTTATCAAGTTCCATTTGAATTTGCTGATGCTGTGAAGTTCTCAGAATCCAAACAGACGCAAATTCTTTTTATCTTTTAATATTAAATCATGGTTGGTCATGTGCTTCTACTTGTGAAACGGGGCAAAGGAAGTTAGCCTATTTTTAAGATGTTTTGATCAATACATAGCAGGGAGGTATTAGAATTTTAAATAAAATGAGTTCTATTATCATATACAGTTCATTACAATAGTAATGAAAAATGTGCAGCTTCTGTGTGAGAACTGTTGCAGAATTCAAGTGTGGAATATTTAAATACGGCCCTGCTGATTGATACTATTGCAGAACTGTTTTCATTATGAAAATGTCCTGTAAGGATTTCAAAGTTTATCAAATATATGGTGTTTAAGTGAAGTTTATTGTGTTTGTTCTTGACATTTTTGTGAAAATTAGAACGAGTGTTAGAAATGGTTCTGGTGATCTGTAAGTGAAGAATAGTAGAGGTGATGTTTCTCTATTAAGAAACAAACAGCATTTCTTCTGCCTCTTGTGCCCTTGAGATAGTTTCTCACTTGTCCAAGACACAGTCCCCTTGAATTGGAGATCTCTTCTGCTGACCTATTAAAAACAGACAGGTGTTAGCTGGGTTTCAACTAAACTAAACCAGATCAGTCTAAACTAAATAGATAGGTTCAGTATATTGCTACTACTGAAAGCACTCTTTGGCACTGAAATTGCTGTGGTTTTTGTTTTGCGGTGAAGTGCTTTGAGCTGTGTGACCCAGTGCATGGCCTGTGGACCGTATGCTCATTTTAAGTAGTTTGTAGCCAGCAGCTACACTTTGTTTTTTGTACTTCTCGTACCTTTTATGACAAAAAAATTAAAATATCTTTTTTTTCCCTCATGGCTTCTAATTGAGGAGTAGGATGGATCTGTTGGTTGTTGTACAACTGGGATGACCTGGTTCTTTTCAGCCGAGCTTGGGGTGAAATGAAACAGAACGCATGAATTGTGTCTTCCCAGAGTTGTGTAAGCTAGGCTCATTAAAAGAATTTTTGTAAGACAATTTATTTCTTCAAAGATATTTAATGGAAAACCAATTCTCAGTCCTGCAGAGCAGTGCCATATATAGGACACTGAAATTTCCTCTGTTTGCCACTAGCATTATTGAATAGACATGTATTTTGTATTTGGCAGTCCTAGTGATGAGTTAAAATAACTTGGAAGCTGTATTCTCTCTTAATTTTACAGTTTATTAAAAAAAAAATAACCCTTTCCTCTTCCTGTTTGTGAACTGAAACTGTCTGTACTTTGGATATTGAACCCACTTGTTTTCCTGTGGAGAAAACCAGAGCAGTTGCAGTTGACAAAAAAAACTAGACAGTGTTCTTAATTATTCATTATACACTCACACTTAATGCAGCTTTTATTTTCAGAAAGCTAAAACTATATTTCTTCTTTTAACCAGAAGCCCAGTGAGAATAACACCAAAAGGTACAACGGTGAACCTGAAAATACGGAAAAAAATGACACATCCTGCATAATCTTGGAGGTATGAACGTTGTACTTACTTGTAGTTTTATGTTGCATTCAAACTTAGCTATCTCAGAAATTCATAGACAAAGGCACTACAATAATCAAGCAGAAATACAATGCAGCATAAAACTTTGAGATCAAGTAAATTTGCTGTCCAGCAAACTAATTTCAGGGGAGAAGGAGATGAAGTTGAGAAGGGAAAAATACTAGAGCTGCATAACATTCATTTTTCTTGGTTTGTTTTCTTTTTTCCATTGAACCATCTCTAGTAACTTGTGTTCATCATGATGCTTTTACAATGTGATATTTGACTGTAGAAAGTGTTTTAAATTCAGCCAAATCAGCTCTTTAATCCCAATTGTTAGTTAATGCACAGGGTTATTGCAGAAGGGAACGGAGGAGGGTGAGAATGCATGACGTGTACTGTAACTGCTGCTGATATGTGAATCACAGCATAGGTGGTCACAATGACTCTGGTTTTAGCAGTCCCTTCATGTGAATGCATAAACTTAAGTACTGTATAGAAGTAGAAGACATTGTACATTGGTGTTTTATGGTGAATAATGTCTTCTGAAATATAAAATACTGGAGTAAAATAAGGTAAAATCACTGGGAATCATTTTAGTAACTTATTTTTATTCATTAACAGCAAAAGTTAAAACCAGACCTGGAAGTAAAGCACTTTGAACAGTACAGCCTGCGTTCAAGGAAAGATGAAAAGAAGAAAGAAGAGACATATTCGGAGAAAAAGATATTTACGACATTAAAAACAATTGAGAAAGCACCGTCAAAAACAAAGGAGCTGGAGTTTGGGGGAAGAATTGGTGTGTGTGCAAATTGTCTTTTAATAGTTGAAAATTAGTACTGCTTTGTGGGTTTTTTTACTTACTGACCATACTGTCATGTCGAGAAGGGTTTTTCCAGTTTTTGGACCCTGGTTTGCAGAATTCAGAGTGGTATGATAGTGCCTCACTTGATATGATGGCAGTCAAAGAACCATTATTACATTGGTTCTCATGTGAAATACAGTGAAGATCTTGTGCCATCTCTTGCACAGTGAGGTCTAAATATTTCTAAATTAAATTTAAGAAGTAACTAGCAAAGGTTTTACATTTTCAAAACTTAGGTACTTTGAACTTGACAGTAAAGTATTCTTTATACAGTTTTTCAACCAGTTTTAAGGGGATGCAGTGAGTGTGATCCTTCAGTAGATGGATGACCTTGTGTGGAAGTGAGAAGAATGTCCCATTACGTGACATGGGATTGCTGCTGTCTTGCTTCAGGAATAGATAGACAATCTTTTCTTTGTTACTAAAGTTAATATCGAGCTTTTTTCTTTAATGGGATTGAAACTATATTTTTTAACTTTCTATATTTATCTTCTAATATTCCATGATGTCTGTTTACAGGGACCTTCATGCTGATTTTTCTCCTGCCTGCTACTGTATTCTACTTGCTGTTGATGTGTAAACAAGATGACCCCAGTCTTATGAACTTCCCTCCTCTCCCAGCACTTGAAAGTCTTTGGGAGACAAGGGTGTTTGGTATTTTTCTTCTATGGTTTTTCCTTCAAGCTCTGTTCTACTTGCTGCCAATTGGAAAGGTAGGTTGTTTGGTAGCAGCTGGGGCTTTATGGGCAACTGATCTGTGCATTGGGCTGGAGGGTGGGGTGTGTTCTTAATGCAGCAAATTTAAAAGCAAATAATTAGTTTTCCATAATAAGTTGGAATATGGCTACTGCAGATTTCTGTAAGCTTAAAAGACCAGTTTGTTAAGAATTCGTGCATTTCAGAGTCTTTCAGTAGAAGAGGCAGAAAGCATTATATAGGCATTCAGATCAAAGCAAGGATAAAACTTGATAGAATTCTAGAAGAATTTCAGGTATCTGACCTTAAAATTCACAAACTGTTTGATACTCAATTTCTTATGGATATCCAAAGTTTTAGAATATAATCTTCACTTACAGAAAGCTATAAACCATTCTAGCCATATGTATATCAGGCAAATGCTCTTTTGCCTTCTTTTGTGATGTTAGGGCTACTGGCAGATTCTGAAGGGACACTAAAGTAGTTTACAATAATTGGAGCAGCTCTGCTTTCTTGAGGCTGGTTAGGAAGAGATTAATTTTTTTTAAGTATTTCTAATTAAATCTGTTAAACTTTTGATATCCAAAGTGTGTTTTTTTAGAACAGTCCTCAGATTTGATTGTGTCCAGCTGGTTACCTTGATTTGAATGTCTTTCTGGCAGAGATGTACTTGGTTTCCTCCCCCACCAGTGCTTTCGGAAAGTGCTTTTTTGAACACTAGTATTTTGCTCTTCCTAGGTTGTAGAAGGCCTCCCTCTTTCAAATGGAAAGAAACTACAGTACCGGATAAATGGTAAGCATGTTGCAGTTGCTTATTCTAGGGTTGATTCCATTATGTGATTTGCAGTGCTCAGCACCATAAAATACAAATTATGAAAGATACATTCTGTGGTCAAAATGTATGTGTTGTAAATCTGTCATAAAATAGGGTGAGCCTTTTCTTGGGAGAAGATGGTTAGTAATCATCCAGAACTACTGCCCCAAGAGCGAGACATTACACTCTACAGGGCACCTGATCTGCATTCAGTTGTGACTGGTGACTCCTGTCATATTCCTTGCTAAATGGGGAGTTGTCTATCAGGAAGTGTTAATGATGCTCATGTGACAAAGACTGTTGTTCAGGAGGAGTGATCTGAAGAGATCTCATCCCATGTGTCTAAATCATCTTGGATGTCTGTGATTTACAGACTAATAAGAAGTATGTTGTAAGTGATTTAAGATGTTCTTATTCCTGCCTGTCAAAGAACAGTTCAGAGCCCTTAATTAGATGATTTCACTTCTGTGGTAGTTTGGTCTAGACCTTCCTTGGTGACCAGTTTGTAACCAAGGAAGTGCCCAGATTTACCCGGTATTCCCTACGATTTTTACGTAAGCCGGGGTATAAGAAGAAGGGAGGAAAGGCCTTTGTCCTCTTTCCTTCCGGCGGCTTTGGAGGTGCGGGTTCCCTGCTGTTGAGTCTGCCGGGTTGGGGAGCGAGGCCTGGTAAGGCCTTGTCGACCTTGGGAGGTGGAGGCTGCCGGCAGTCACTCCAGCGTGACTCTCCGTTGTCCCAAGGAGAGTAGTAAGATATTCTTTGCTGAAAATTGGATTTTTTTGATTTCTAATGTGGCTCAAACTGCCACAACTTCCTATGAACAAGGCAAGTTTCTCATCTAGTTCAAGAGTATGGTTTAACATACTTCAGCAGTCCTGCTTTTTCTGACCTTAATAGGCAAGTGTACTTTCGTGCTTTGAATGTACTCCAGACTACCTATTTGATTTAGTCAGTTCAAGGGCATTGTCTGGTAGCAGTGGAATCCAAATGTTAAATTAAAAAGTTGAGGTTTAACGTAGTCTGTTAAGATGCACCATTTTAAAGTCAGAATAGGGCTGTAAATCATAGAAACGGGGAATTACATGCTGCAGAAGTGAGTCATGTTGAGGTTATCTCATACCTTTTATGGTATGTGACCAGTGATGGGCAGTGGCACAAACTGAAATACAGGAGGTCCCATCTGAACATCAGGAGGCACTAGACTAGATGAGCTCTGGAGGTCCCTTCTAACCTCAACCACTGTGACCCTGTGAAAGGTCCTCAGATGAGAGCAGTATAGAATTGCCTGCTCATATTAGGGCATCAATCCATTCTACATGGTTTGATACTCTCAAAGGCTACAAAAGTTTTATGTTCAGGTTTTGAGTTGATAGTTACTTAATAGTTTAGTAACTGCTATCTGTATCAAGGTATGTATGAAAACTTGAAGATGAAAATATGGTTATCTGAGCTGTCACACTGGTAAGACTTTGTAATCTGCTGTTATCAGTTAGTAGTGTCAGTGTCCATTTTTTCCACTACAACCTGAAATTAGATCCTGTGTTATAAAAAATGTAGGAGTGATCACAGTGTTCCTGCCTCTTGTCCTTTTGAAGAGGAGCACAGTAAATTTCAGGGCTTAGAGTCTCTTAGGTATATTGCTGTGCCCCACAAGTTTGGACTGAGAGCATGGGATGTGTAAGACATTATTGGAATATGGACAAATCTTGGAAGAAAGGAAAATGCAGAAAGCTTGGACTGGGGAGGTTCTACTAGAAAGGTATTTTTTTTATTTTGGCTAATACATCTTTCTTCTACATCCTTTAGGGTTTTATGCTTTTATTTTCACTGCTGCAGCTACTGGAATTTTATTATACTTTCAATTTGAACTTCATTATTTGTATGATCACTTCCTGCAGTTTGCAGTGTCAGCTGCAGCTTTTTCTTTGGCATTGAGCATTTATCTGTATGTTCGGTCCCTGAAAGCACCTGAGGAAGAACTAGCACCAAGTGGAAATTCTGGTGAGTTATGAAATATTTTGGATAACTTCTTTCTGATTGTCTACTACAGTTTCATTTTTATGAATTAAAGTCTAGGATTTAGGACTTTGGATATAATACTTCGACTTTTGATTTCTACAAATGTAAAGATAATATTAATAGTTAACTGGCAAATTTTTGTTCTCACTTGGATACTCTAAAATGCTTAAAATTTTAGTTGGATTTTCTATGGAATAATATCTTTGCTGGTCTAGTCCCCTGTGATGAGAGGATAGTTCTTTCCTTTCAGTTTTCAGTATTTTTTTGTCTGAGAGGCTTGTGTAGTTTGCTTCATAGTGCCCCTGCCTTTTCTTGAAACAGCTGAGAATGGAAAAAACCCCTGAAAAATGTAAATATTTTGTCAGTGGGAAGTCAGGTACAGAACTTAAAACATTGTGTTTCTAAACTTTTATTTTGCCACATGCTTTTAAATCTATTTAGCTGAATGGAGTTTTCAAAAAAGATTTTGATTCAGTCATGAGACTGCCTTCCTAGAAAGTATCAAGTATATGCATATGTTTTTGTAGGACAAAGGATAGATTGAGAAGTCTGTTAGCATTGAAACTGCTTTTATAAATGTCTATAGGGTGACTAAAAAGGGATGTTTATGGACAGAACACTTAATGTATTACAATGAAGTATTCAAATACCCTTAGTTCTGTTGTCAGTGCAGCATGTTATGTGTGTGAAGGGAAATAAATTATCATTTTTTTTCTTCAAAAAGTGCAGTTCTAGTCTCTGCAAATACCATAGTAGCATTCGGTAAGTGTTCTGCAAAGTGCTTATTTTTTGAAAACTCAGTCCAGGGTGTCTTGAAGTCCAGGAATTTTGCTTCTTCATCTCTTTTAATGAACAGGTAATCATAGCTAAAGGAATTTTTTCTTCCAGAAAAAAGCAATGAAATAGGAGGGAAAGTAGAATTAATTAATGCCATAAGATCATGTTCATGGAGACTGTGATGTGAGCTTCAGGATGAGGCTGAATATAAGGAACAGGAGTCAAGGAGAAATAAGCCAATAGTAACTTCCAAAGTGTTCAGTCCTCCTAATAAATAAAATATTTGGGTATCTTGAAATTCAAAGTATATGGATTTTGCTTTGTATTTTGCATATACTCTTCATTTTTTTTCCAATATAAAGGCTTTTAAAAATTGATAATGAGAGAGCATTAATGGGAAGTAGGATCTTATTTATGGTGCAGATGAAAGTAATAATATTGCTAACAGAGGCTGTGTCTTATCCGCAGGGTATTTCATTTATGATTTTTTTATTGGACATGAATTAAACCCTCGTATTGGCAGTTTTGACCTCAAATACTTCTGTGAGTTGCGTCCAGGATTAATTGGCTGGGTGAGTCAGTAATCCTAGTTATTTTATTTGCTTAAACATTACACAGAGATTTTGGTTTTTTATGTATAGTTGGTATTAAGGATTTTATATATATTTATAAACGGGGGGGAAGTACTGAAAAACAGTTCCACATTGTCAGATTTTTAATGACCATTTGTATTCGCTTTAGGGAAATTTCTAGCTTCTTTGCTTTGTGGGAAATGAAACCCCTTCTTTAAGTATTCATATGTTGAGGTTATATGGCTTCAGAAATGTGGTTACTTGCAAACTGTAGCATTTTTTTTTTTTAAACTCAAGCATTGTTCAAAAATATCTGTGTTAAAGTGTCCTATAGTGTAACTGAAAAGACCACTTGGAACAAGGAAATTTTTAAATATTTTCTAAACTAGGTTGTTATAAACTTGGCAATGCTCTTGGCTGAGATGAAGATACACAATCTAAGTATGCCATCCCTGTCAATGATACTTGTGAACAGCTTTCAGCTTCTGTATGTGGTGGATGCTCTTTGGAACGAGGTAAATGACAATCTTGTTAAACTGTGTTAGCATTTTTAAGTACACTGTCAAATGAAGGAGGCTTTTTAAATTCTAAATTTCTTCCTCCTTGCTTTTAGGAAGCCGTTTTGACTACAATGGATATTACCCATGATGGATTTGGATTCATGCTGGCATTTGGAGATTTGGTGTGGGTTCCATTTGTCTACAGTCTGCAGGCCTTCTATTTAGTGGGTCATCCTACTGTGATTTCTTGGCCTGTTGCTGCCGCAATTGCTGTTGTGAACTGTAAGTTACAATAAATGTTATTGTTACAACCTAGTACTGATTTTGGTTTTTTGAGATGTGAGGTAGAGCTTTAGCTCAGATGCAGTGATAATATTTTCTGTATTAGAGCTGGTGGAAGCGTGTGCCTTGCTACTGTTTAATGCAAAGAATATATTTATTAAATGAAGGGTAGATGAGACTGAACACCTAATTGTTCTGTTGAGAGGCATCTTTAGGTGGATGTTCTCTGGAGTTAAGTGACTTGAAATGTTTTGAATTTGACTTTAAAACATATCTGTTAATCTGAATGACTGAGTGACTCTAAAAAGAAGTCAGTGCTTTGTTGGCTGTGCCTTACTTTTTCCCCTAGGTTCAGCGTTTGCATCTCTTTCCCTGATGCCCAAGTTACACACACATGTCAAAGGAAAACATCTTTTTTCTAGCTGAGTGCTTTGAGAAAGGATCTTGCGTCTCCTCTTTAGGCGACCTTAAGTTTGCACCAACATAGCCTTGTAGTTTGTCCCTTTTACCTGAATAGTAAACCTAAAAAACCTGCCTGTTTTTTGTAGACATGGCAAAGAATTTAAGCACTTGGAAAAAATTAAAAGGGGTACAAGTTAAGATGTGCAATACTGAGAAATACAACAGCATTTTTTCATCTTCAGTTAATGTTTTTTCTTGGGTTTTTATTTTTTTTTTTAAGAACATCATTATTTGAAATATGTTGTGATCATCTTTTCTCAGTACAGCCTTGGTAAAAGCAAATTTAACCTTCTGTGTGAAAATGATGGGGGAAATTAATTTCAAAATCAGATAGTTCATTATCTGGTTCTTTTATTGCTGTGAACTTGTAAATAGTTGGTCAGTTTATGGAATAGGCACTGTAGCAAAATACTGGGCTGCTAAAAGAGCTGTTATTTTACAAAATGCAGCACATCACCTTTATGTGAATTTCACACTCAGTATTACATTAATAAACTATGTCAGATACAAATGCAAAAATAGATGTGAAAATAAAGCTTCTCCAAAATCTTATAAAAGTTAGTAAGCTGTAAGAGCAGGTTTCTGATGACATTTCTATGTTGTTAGAATTCTATAAACCAGAAAATATCAGTTGCATCTCTGAGGAAAAGGCTGAAGTGATAAGAGTGAGTTCTTTTGTTGAAGCAAAGAAAACTGGAAAGTACTGAAAATGCAAAATAAATAATAAATCATATTTATTTTCAGGTATTGGGTATTACATATTCCGTAGTGCAAATTCTCAGAAAAATAATTTCCGAAGGAATCCCGCAGATCCCAAATTGGCCAGTAAGTACATTTCTTATTCGGTTGCTATACAATGTGCCTTTGTGGTATTTAAATATATATTTCAATTGTTGTATTGACTACAATACTCTATTCACAGATCTGAAATTTATACCCACTGCAACTGGAAAAGGACTTCTTGTCACGGGTTGGTGGGGTTTTGTTCGTCACCCTAATTATCTCGGTGACATCATCATGGCTCTAGCATGGTCCCTACCCTGTGGTAAGTTTCTGAAACTAAAGTGTATTTTATAAAAAATGCTTTTATGTTTTGGCATCTGGCTGGACTTGAAATGTAAAGTGATAATTATTTGGAATACTGAACCCTATAACCGACTGAATGGCCAATTTCTGTGTCATAAGTTTAATGCAACACCTATTTTCTCTTTCATTGTACCCTTTCTATCTTGCTGTACATTTGACATACTATAGATTTTACTTGTGTTTCTAACACTTTATCATTCAATAACGATGGGACTTGCTTCCTAATTAGTTGTTCCTTAAATTTTTTAGGCTAGTGGGTGTGCTATAGTGTTCTCAAATGAAGTTCCCCAAAAGTGGGAGTTTGCTACCACATGTAAGGATGACTAAGCAAAATACATTAAAAAAAAACGTCATCAGACACAAAGGAGTGAAATTCTGTCTCAATTTTGGTTAGTGAATACACACTCTTCCTTGCACTGGGGACCCCAGAGCTGGGCACAGCACTCCAGGTGGGGTCTCAGGAGAGCAGAGCAGTGGGGCAGAATCAGCTCCCTCGACCTGCTGGCCACACTTCTCTTGCTGCAGCCCAGAATATTTGGCTTTCTGGGCTGCAGTCACACATTTCTGGGTCATTTTCCATTTTTTTCCACCTACAAGTCAAGTACTGTGGTCTGAGCAAAGCTGGACTCATGTCTACAGCAAAAATAGAGAAAACCTTGTGTGGGACAGTTCAGTGCTGCAGAGGTTTAACTAGAAAAAGTGTGGGTTTGATATGCTTTGCATGCATTGAGAGTGAAGTTGGTAGATTTTGTGACTAATAAATTTTAAAGATGACTTTTTGTGGATTTGTGGGTCTTTTCCTGTCTGCATGTAAACTCACACAACTGACCTGTTGAGTGTTTGATGCTTTAGGAATATAAGATGCTTCAGTCTTTAGCAAGTGTATGTCACCAGCTTAATACATGTTTATAGCTAACATCTCTGGATTTTTTTTTGTCTGTATCTAAATTGAATTTCTCACTTTACTTTACAGGTTTTAACCACATTTTGCCGTATTTCTACGTGATATATTTCATCTGCTTGCTTGTTCATCGAGAAGCTCGTGATGAACATCATTGTAAGCAAAAATATGGATTGGCATGGGAAAGGTATTGCCAGCGTGTACCATACCGCATATTTCCTTACATCTACTAGAGCACTCCAGATTCCTGATTGGAAAGTTACTTCTAAAGTTAGTTTCTTTGCAGATAAAATATACCTCTTACCTTTGCACTTGGTCATTTGTCATTTAGGCTTTTAAAAAAAAAAAAAGGCCAAACTTTGGAGTGCATCAAAGGTATTTACAAGTAAACTTAAATACATGAGTTATGTGAACTGACTGGCTGTGACTTCAATTCTTAAAATATTGTGAATTTTAAAAACTCTTGGAGCCCTAATTTTTCAAGCTAAATTTTATCTAGAATTCCGAGTTTACATTTTTTTTTTATTGCGTTTAATTAAGCACTGTGATGTAAAGTATATTATTTTCTTAATACAATAAATGCTGAAATTCCATCCAGTTCATTTTTTGGTGTTACTTGTACCATCTGGCTTCTCATGTCCAATTTAGTTGCCTGAATTGGAGGAGCAGCAGGGTCTTTTTGGTCAGTGAGCTGGCAGCAGAGGATTTGACCCACATGAGGGGCCTGCAGTCCCGGGCCTAAAACTGGCATAGCTCAGCTAGGTGGTTGTTCCCCTCCTGGCTTTTCATTAATGGGATTTTTTTGGTCAGGGAGGCTCAGGTGACCACTCCTGCCCTGCACCTGCAGGAGGGACTGAGGGATATAGAACTGGGAGAAGGGAATGGGCACAGCTGTCCCCTCCTCCCGTCCCATTCTTGAGGCAGTTTCAGCACAGACCAAGGGGAGTGCCTGGCAGTGCCCCTGGCCCTGGATGGAAACCATGCTTCTGGCTCAGACTCCTGAAAGTAGATGATACAAACACTTGCTTTGACTGTGGGCAGAGCTGTGGAAGTGAGCAGTGAACCCTCATCCTGCCTCTAGCATTGAACAAGGGGTAGCAAAAGTGTGCAGTAAATGCACATTAGACAGAAAAGGATCAAATGACCCCAGTCAGCTTATTCTGATCTTTGTAAATTATGTCTTAATGTACCATAGCGTTTACCAAGTGTGTATAATAAAGCCTCCACGTTTTTTCTGTACAGTGTTTGGGTTTGAAAATGCAACAGCTTTTTTAGAAACAGAAGAAATCAGTAACTAAACCAATTTCCGGTAATTTTAAAAAAAATGTTCATTGAAAAAAGGTTTTTGTAAATTAATGTAGTACTTCTTGAAAGAATTGAAGTGTTCATTTAAATATTTGTATTGACAGATATGCTATGAAAATATAGGAATTGCTCCTCAATCCAAAGTTGTTGTTTTTTTTTAATTTGGCATTGCTACCTCATATGTAGGTGTTGCCTTTTGTACTGTTGCAGATGGAGAAATAGCTATTTTTTTGCTATTGCTATTTAAAACAACATTTTTTACATGAGCCTGTGGTTAAACTCAACCACTTTCTAATATATTTTTGTATATATTTGACTTTTTGACTAATGTATGTGTTCTGGTCACTAGTTGTGTTCTTTGTCTAACTGGCTGTAAATGAGATGCCCTTCTGGTATTTACTTCATAAGTAGAATAATTTTACTGAAATACTTGCATTAATTAAGTAGCTTCTATTCTGTTGTCACAAGTAAGAGCTTATCACATACTTCGCACATGAGGTTTATAGCACAAATTGCCCTAAAAAGCATATTCGAATATTAAATATAGTGCAGGTACCTCTGCACTTGCTTGCAGGATTGTTCCGAATGAATTGGAATGTTATTTATCAATTTTTTTTTTAATTCTTCTAAAATGTTGATGTAATTGAAATCTAGCATGTGATTTCTTTTAAAAATAAAATAACCCTCTATTTTGTACATGGGCATTTTTTAAAGATAATTGTACAATTGAACTGTATATAATGTAGCTTGATTGTTGGTGTTGTAAGGAAAATGTTTTAAGACAAGTACTTTGCTTGCTGGCAGCAAATAGCAGTGCCTGTAACAAGACTCAAAAGAATTTACTCCTGTGAAGTAGCAGATTAAACTGGGATGCTTTTTTCAATCATTTCTGAGTGAATTTATGGGAAATAGAGAGATCATTAAATGGCACTGGTTTGCAGGTGGTGGTTTAAAATGTACTGAAGCGGGTGGGGACAGTTCAACTTCTCAGTCTGTGAACTCAGAGATGCTCCTGCTGTCCCAGTTTTATCTGTTGCCATGCAAGTTGTTTAAAATGTCATTTGGAACCCTCGTCTTTCAGAAATGGATCATGACCAATGACAACTTCAGTTTATTTACATGTTGAATTTTATGTGAATTTGATTTTGGTTTTAATACAAACAAGCCTTTGAACTAAAATAAAGGTTTTGCTTAAAATTAAGTAGTGGTGGGTTTTTTCCCCAATTGATATTGATGTCTGATAAAAATGACATTGATTTATCTTATTAAGTACAGGTGCAAGTTTGCTGAAGTTCCTTCTGTACCTGTGGTTGTGGGCTGAATGTTACAATCTCATGTCTGCTTCCCTTAGCCTGCCTAAGAATTTCAAGGAAAGAAGGTCTCTCCATTTCTCCCTTTTGTTCTACTTCTCTTTCTGCAAAAGCTGACAGATCCACCCTCAGCCTGGGACCATGTTTGTTCTTTGAATCAGCCCTGTCTTCAAACAGCTCCTTTCTCATCTGTCCAGTGAGATGGGCAGGGCTAATGCATCACCACTTTTTGTTCCCCCTTCTGCAACTCAAAAAAAAAAAAAATTAATTTCAGCTGTAAAAATACAGAATTAACGCTCAGTTTCCCTATATTATGTTGTATTTTCCCCCACAGCTTCTATTAGAAGTCAAAACCAAGCAACAATTTAATGTAATTTTGGGATACAGCCTAAAGGTTGGTGCAGAGGAATTAAATGTTGTGTTAATTTGACCTAATATGAACAAGCCTGTAGTGGAAATAAAATCCATAACTAAAGGAACAGGAATGATAGTTTTGCTTACAGAAAGTTACTTACCATAGGTAATAAAAATGTTTACTTAAACCTTACCAGAAGCACAGTTTTTGCCTCTTCTGGAGTGAAAGCTGTTTTGAGGAGTGGGTGTAAAACTTCTCTGGTGTGTAGATGGAGAACATATTGCACTGTCTGTACAGAACTGTTTTCTGCTGGGGAAGTTCCCTAAAACTGGAAGAAAATACTTTGATAGAGCTTTTGCATTTTTAATATTTAAAAAAAAATCTTAACTTTTCAAAAAAAATTTGACTCTTTTTAAAACAGCTGTTCTACCTTTTTGCATATAAAAATGGAAGCAATAATGATGTTATGAAATATCGTGAGAAAAATATTTTGTGCCCCATCATGGGAGTGTGGAAAAGCCTTTTGAAGAAAAAACTGAAGTTGCCAAACTGAAGTGGCACTCCAGCTGCTTTTTGGGGGGGGAAAGTTGTATTCCTGTCATGTCAGCATACCATCCGTCTTTCTCCTCAGAACACTGCCCTGTGCTGCAGCCAAATGTTTCAAGTAATTTTCCTTTTGTAGCTCGAGGCAGTTTGTTCCCCTGCCATCTGAACAGGGATAGGGAATGATGATCTGTCTGCTGTCACAGACAGGTGGATTTCAGCAAAACCTTTTTATGTCTTTCCCAGAGTGGCATATCAAATTGCAGACGCTTGGTGGAGCAGGGTATTTACTTGTTGCTTACTGCTGCACACTGTGTGTTCACAAGTAACAGCAGCTGCCTTGCTGCTGGAAGAGCAGATTTTTTTCCACTGCAACTGTTGGTTTCTCTGCTTGTCCTCTGCATAAAGGATTGTAGGAGAGCAGTGGTTTCGTGAGTCCACATCCTCTTTAGTTCCCTCCTTCCCCTCTGCCAAAGAAGGAAAGCTGCACATGCAGCAGTAGTGCCATAAAGAACAGCTGCTGGACCGTAAGCCCAGCCTGGGGACCTGTGAAATGCAAATGGAGATGACTTGCAATTGAAAATTTTGAAGGCAGAATATTTGAAGGGGAATTTTGAGGCAGTAATATTTCCCCTATGAAATACTTCATGTGGAAGATGCAGATGCTGACAAAATTTCACTTGGTCCACACAACATCCCTACAAAATGTCTTTGCAGATGCTCAGGAGAAATATTTAACGGTTATTCTAAGGGTTAGAAACATGACTGATCACACATAGATCTGTGGAAACATGCTCTGACATGCTCTGACACACAGTGCCTTCCTCCCTCTACACAACCCTGAGGCTTGGACTGCGTACACATTTCTGCCCTTCCTAGGGAAGCTTCCCAGGAGTGTTCCTTACACTGCTTGTATTCCCTGTTGGAACCATGTATCCTTGCTCCTGTATTTCAAACTGCAGAAATTTTAAGTATTAATGAACAGACCAGAAAGAAGGTACACCTAAAGCTTAACATTAGATGAAGTGAATTCCTGTGAAAAGTACTGTAATACATGGTAGATCCCTACCGATATGAGTGGGAATTAACATGCAGAGAAAGGGAAAATAGTTGAACTCAAAGCCACATAAAAGTTCAAAACCATTTGCTTTTGGCAACACAGCTTTAAAAAACCAAATACTGTAACTATCAGTAGAAAAGCCTGGCAAGAGAGATGATGCTCATGCAAAGCTGTTCAAGTAGAATGATGATGTAAAGAACCAAAGCAGAACTATTTCATGCTCTTTTCTACTTGTGTTTTTATAATCCTGTCAAGAGTCTGAAAGCAAACTGATACTGTAGACAAAAGGTGGACATTGGAATCATGCAGAAATCTCTGCGTGTGTTTATATCTGCTTATCACAGCCTGCAGGGAATGGAAATTTGCCAGGCTAAAAATTCTCAGTTTCCACCAAAATAAACCTTTGAGAAGTTTCTTGTGAGGACTTGAAAGCTTATTGAAGCTGTACTGTACAATTGTACTGTACAAAATTATGGTCTTGTTAACCACCACTTGTGGAAGTCTATTGTACAAATTTCAGGTCTTGTCAGCCACCACCATTGGAGTCTCACTAGTGGGCGCCAGCCCAGTGTGACTCCACAATAAAGCCCAAGAGTTCCCTGACCTGTGGTCTGGTGTCTTTGCTCAGCCTGAGGAGAATTTGTAACGGACCTCATGACCCTACCCATGGGTCGTGACATGTCCCTCCCTCCACCCTCTTCCTTTCTTAAACCAATGAAACCAAGAAAAACCAGATGTTCTGGTTCTGACCAGGACAGGGTTAATTGTCTGCAGGAGCTGTGAGGGGACTAGGACATGGAGGTTATTCTCTATCACCTCTGGTCCTTGCTGGAGGCAGGGGAAAGGGGCTCTCTTCCAGCCAGAAGGGATTCCTTCCAGTCAAGAAAACATGGCTCCCATATTTTCTGTTATTGGGGCTTGTTTTCCTGTGGATTTTTTCTTTTCTTCTACTGTCTGGCATTAGCATTGTTGCTGCCCTTCTCTTATCCCTTTAGGGGCCTACTCAGGATCACAAGCTCTTTGCCCTGGATGGATCCATGGGGACTGCAAACAGAGTCCTCTTGGTGCACACCATCCAAGCTGTGGGAATGTCTCTGGCATGCCTGCTGTGCCAGCTTTCAATCCCCAAGGTGATTGAAATTAAGGCAGGTCCAAGAGGAAGGAGAGCTTTTGATGTTGTGTGTCTGCTTTAATTGCAATGCCGTGACTAAAGCAGAAGTGATTAAGAATCTGAGGCTGCGTCTGTTGAAATGCAAATCTGCAAATGATCAAGCAGGACATTATACCTTCAGCAATCCTTTTTGTATGGGTGTGATTTCCTCATCTAATTTAACAAGTGTCCAAATCCTTTTGTAGATACTGAGTCTCTCTGCAGCTTTCACAATGTCTTCTGTCTCCCACTGCAAGAAAAAACCTTATTGGTAAGAAAACACCTTCTGGACAGGAAAATATGACAGTTACCAAGGACTGACATGTCTGAAATGAGCCATCAAGGACTGTTGCTGGATTTCACTGTGACTGAATCCCTTGCATGGTGTGCACACACACAGAGATATGGAGAGTTCTTGTCAGATCAAACTGATAAGACTGAACAAATATAGAGGTTTGTATATGCTTGTGGTTCTTTAAACATGAAGTGATAGGGAAAAAAAAAGGTTTTTAATTCTAATTTTTAAGAGCAAGTTATGTATAGGAATTAGATTTTGAGGTGAAATTATGCAAGATGACTCTAAAGATATGGAGAGATACTGAATAAAAACAACAATATATTTTGAACTACCACTGATTTTTTTTTCTATTTGAAGACCATGGACATGCATCCTGCATTTCTGCCACAGAAAGTCTTGCTTCTATGTTTGGTTAAACCATCATGAAAATTAAAATAAAGTTGAAATGTGAGTTTCACAGTTGTAATCTTTTTTTTTTCTTTTTGCTATTAGAAAGAACATATTTTTAAGTATTTATATTTATTCATATATAAATATATAACAAATATATTTATATTATTATATATATTATGTTAGAAATAACATATTTTTTGCTATTAGAAATAACAGCCCAGATTCATCTCACTGTTTTGCTCAGCTTTAATCCTGAATGACATCTGTTGACGGGATGAAAGTTGAGATTATGTGACAGCAGAAAATTGGCAAAACTTCCTCTCCATCATCTCAGAGAATGTCCTGACCAGCTGCACACGGGCAGCACGGCCTGTGGAGTTAACCAAGGGTGTCCACCTGCTACAGGAAGTCAGAGTCAGAAATAATTGTGTGTCCCTACACTCGTTCAGTTATAGGGAGTTATAATTTACAATTGACACAAACTTGGCTCTTTCTACCTGACAAATTCACTTTGCCTGTTTTCAGTATCATTTGGGGATGATCCCAAATGCAGAGCTGAAGCAATGATTAAATAAAAGGTGGGGATTTATGTTCTTTAAGAAACAAATAGACATTGAACTTGTGACCATGGAGGTACTGATATTCCATAGCTATCTGCTGTAAACTTCAGGCGGGTCCTCCCTGCCACACGGGGTTGCGATACATGTGCAGGCAAGTTTCAAGGAAAAATGGTGGATTAGATTGATACCTGACGGGGGGAGAGCTGTAATCCCCCTTGAGCAAGACCCAGAAGGACCACTCTGCATGCAAGTCACTGTGTGACACAAAATGGCCCTTTATTGAACATGGATGGTGGCTTATAAAGGGAGAGCAGGGATCTTTCTAGAACAAAGGGTGGAGATTGGGAGGAGTATTCAAAGGAGCGGCCAATCGTGGTAACAAAGGGCGCAACTTATTCAAACATGAATAAGGAAAAACTATCTGTAGGGAGTACTGCAATGCAGCAGGGTTGGACAAAAAAGGAAAGTGTTTACATAGAACCAATAGGAGAAAAGTTAACAGGGGTACAGAGAAGGGAATCACACATTCTCATAACAAAACATACTATGCCAACAAGAGAACAATTGCACAACTAAGTAAAACACTGGAAACAGACACTCTCGTGGTTATGATGATCATATCTTGTGCATGACAGCGTAGGTGCACTCTGAGATGTTTTTTTCCTGTTCCTCTGATCTCTCCTCATTAAGTCTCTTCCACCACTTGTAGGACTCTCTTGGGGCACCTCCAACAGATACTCACATCAGGGCTGCAGATTTAAATGGTGCTATAAGAGGAAGACTTCCCTAGCATTTCACATGTCCAGGTTTTCTTCTAGGTAAGGTAAATAAGAGCGCAGGAACAACTAATTCTGTAAATTGCTAATAAAGAAACACTAATAAAAACTCGTAAATTTAACAGAGTCTTGAATGCCAATGAAAAGCTCTTGCTGGTGTAAAAGTGTTTCAGGGCAGAACTGAGCAGTCTATGGGTCTATTAATCCCATTTAAGGGAGAAAGATAGGACAGTGAACATTCATCATTCCATGCCATTCCTTAGCAATAATGGCAAGCATCTAGATGTGGTATGAGGACAACCACACTGGCTGTGCAGAAAACACTTCAGGGTCCTTGGATATCCTAGAAAGCCGTTCTCACTGTGGAGAGTGAGGCAATAACCAACCCAGCAGCTTTTAGGTCTCTCAACCTAAAAGGGAGGGTCACCCAACACTTTCAACATGAAACAGAAAACTAGAAAATAGCTGAGCCTTTATATGCATCTTTGCAATAGGCTATATCCCAAATTCAACATGATCCAAAAATTAGGTGAGGTTTTTTTGATGGGCCGCTGACTGCATGACACCCTGTAGCACAGGCTTAGGGAAGTCTCACAGTATGCCCAAATTACCAGAGACAAAAAAAGACATTTTTGCAATAAACATAAAAATAAAAGCCAAGGAATGATTGAACAACACATCCAATGAAAGATAAAGAACTCAGACACGCCAAGGAATTTTCTGATGGTTCTTTCCCTCCAAAAAATTATTTCATTGTTCATGAAGCAACATCGTCCGGCCTCAACAGCTGAACTTGACAAGCATTTTTGCCTGCTGGGGATTACCAGGGATTACTTTGACTACTGATAAAGCCTTTAGCATTATGAAGTTGTCACATTGAACGAAATATTCAAGATGTGTAAAAAGTCCTACTCATAAGGATGAACTGTCATTTGGATACAGCACCATGTTACTATCATTCATTCACTGACCCTTGATGAAAGACAGGAAAGATGAGATACTATCTTGTTAAAACATCAAAAAAATTCATAGTGTCTTTATTTTGTATACTGAGAACTCCCCTGTTTAAACATGGACCCGTTTGTTTGTACCTGGCCTGCAGAGGGCTCTGATATATTAAACTTTATTCAAGGGCAACTTCCAGCAAACCTAGAAATCACAGCTGGAGCTGCTGCTCCTCAGCCCAAGCTGCTTTCTTCAGTCAGTGCTTTCATGTGTAACTTGGCAAGTGACACCAGCCTGTGGTTTTTAAATCCCCAGGGTATGTCCACGGAGGTCTGGGGCCTGTACCTGAGGTCAGCTGCACATACGTTGGAAGTCAATGGGTGCACCTGTCTGTGGGTTCAAAAGCAGAGAGAGGTGGGATAGGACAACATGCTTTTCTTAAGCACAGGATTTGCTCAAGCAGTATCCAATTATTCATGTTAAAAAGCCTGGAAAAATTACCTTTAAATAACAATATAGCTCTTTTGATAGATGTGTTGACTGATGCCTTTTTGTTCTTTCATATGAAGAAAATGTGAATTATTTTCCTCCTTATAATTAGTGATGTTATAGTCTCACTATATTCCACTTTTGCCAGTATGGCCCTTAACTCTGCAAAAATAAAAGTTAGATAAAACTGAACCTGCTAATATGCAGTCACAAAAACCCCATGCTGATAAAAGGCTTGTGCATTAGGCCCATCATATGAGAACAGGTATATTAAGTGTTTGTGATTGCTTAGATACAAGCTGGACTTGACTAGAAAGCAAAAGCTCCAGCCATGGTATCATCTGGTGGAGGCTGAAACTAAATCATCATAGAATCGTTTGGGATGGAAGGGACCTTAAAGATCACCTCATTCCCACCCCTCCCCAACACAGGCAAGGACATCATTGGCTCAGGTCCTTTCGTGCTTCCCTACAGACTAGGAACGAGGAGCATTTCTTGGCCAAGTCTCTGAGCTAGAACACTTATGGCAATAGGAAAGGTTATTCCCACTCATCCATGTGCTCACTGGAACCTTGACAGGGCAGGTGCTTACATCTGCAGCCTTCCTATCCTCTGTTTTCCTTTTACATTCAATAACACATTTTGAACAGCCTTGACAACTGTGAAAGTAAAATTATGGACTTCTGTTTTTTTCCTCTTTAGTCTGCACACAATCCAAAATATTCCCACATCATTCTTGAATGTGTGCAGTGATACAGCACATCTGTAAATGTGTGATGGCACTGAGCTAGTGCTGGGAGCCTATTGTGGCACATACTGCTGAATACAACTATGGACAAAAATGCTGACCTATCCTTACATCTCTGAACCTCATAAAGGTATGTTCCCACATTTGCCTAAAGAAATACAGATATTTTTTCTGAAATATCTTCATTAAAACAAAACAAAAATTGTAATTTTCATTATTATTTTAATAGCAAACCCACAGATTTCTAATCTCACCCTTTACCTCCCTGCTTAACCTCGTTTTTTTATGTGCTTTATTCCTTTGATGCAGTTGGTATTTTATAGAGCACTAGCAAACAAAAGAAATTACTCAATGTCCTCTTAATTTTCACCAGCAATCTAAACTGTAGTTTAATACAAACATTAACTTTTGAAGTAAGGGCTTGGTTATATAATTTGAAGCTACATTAGCTGTACCTTATGAAGACGTACACTTTTTGGCTGCAATGCTTCCCCAATTGGTATTTCATGGTCCAGACAATTTACAGCAACTTTTGCCTATAATGACCCATTATTTGAGCTGTACAAATACGCTAAACAGGCATAGTCCCTCTGAAATTGTCAGCACATACAACCATAATGCAATGACTCCCCATTTATCTGCATGACTCCAATAGCTTTTATATGTGTAAAGTACATACTCTACTACATTTGTTAATATTTCTGATAACATATGTCTGTATCCAGAGATGTAATTATAAAAAGGTAATGTAAAAGTGCAATCGCTGTTTATTAAATGTACCTAGCATTTTATGCAATTTAAAAAATGGAACCAAACGAAACAAAAATAAATGTCCTCATGACATTATGAATACTCATGATTAATATTGAAGTGGTAATAGCACTATAGATAACATGACATTAAGTTACAATAGTGTAACATTTTCAATACTGTGCTTAAGACTGCATGAGCCTCTCCATTATACATTTCTATTTTGAGAAGTTACAGAATATGAGATGAAGGATACATAAGCTCCTCCATGAATATGCTTGCTTAAAATT